TATTTATAGCGATGAGCATTGTCTATATAATATTAAACGAGACATTTTATATATGGATCTTTTTAATTTACTATTTTAAGCGTGCCAATGTACGAAATCAATCGTCCTGGATTTCCATCTAACTTTTTCCTCTCGTGTTTCGACCCGTCGTGACATGAATTTCGCCTACGACCTGCGAAATAGTCTCGTCCAGTTACGCGAACCAATTTGCGAATACGTAGATACCGAGAGTCATTTTCGCGGGCGTCGAGCAGCTTGTCGGAATGCCTTTGCGACTAAAGTGTGCTGCAGTTAAATCCAGAGCAAATTAGTAGAGTGGAAAGGTCGTCTCTCGCACGGCACTTGCCATTGTTAATTGGCGAGCGGACTGAGGGGCTGAGAGTACCGGGGATGATGCTCTAATCTTTCCCCATCGGATGCATCCAAGTTTAAAGGTACACGCACGCAAATCCCGCCCCCGTTGTTTGCAGTCTTCGTCTTTTATGCTCCTCGAAGAACGCGATCTCGCTTGGAAATCAAATTCGCTTATTATCCGTTATTGAAGCGTTCTCGTATATTTGGCTTATTTTGGATCATCATGATTATCGACTACTGAATTACTGAATAATTCTATACTTTTCATGGATTATCTCTTTCTCTTCTTGGTTTTTAGATACAACGATGACAGTTTCGAAATACCTACAATATTTTTAAGTTCTTTCGTTTCATCTCGTAGCGTAGGAGTTGTTACAGAAACTATTTATTGTAGAAAGTAGAAGTTCTTTGTGGAAAGTTTTCTTCCTTTTAGAATTGTTATTTCTAAGTAACTCTATTGTATATTCGTTAATGTCAATTAAAGTAGTAGTTTATTCAACTACAATACCTTACAGTTAGAAAGTAAGATATGATAAAATAAAAAGTTATATTCCGAAATTAGATACTTAAGATCATTATTTAATTTCAGATATATCTATGAATATATTTTATCTTATCATTCCCAACATAAGATAAAGATATTTTTTTTAAGTCATTAAGAAATAAAAGAATTAAAAATTTATTAATTTAGAAGATATCGGTCTAAAAGCTAATTTTAATATAAAAAATGGAGATATTTACTTTTATTAAGCTTAGTTACACAATTGTCGTGTGCAGCAATTTAAGTGGATTGCATGCACTTTTTTCTAAATAATGAAACCATAACAACATGACTCTACTAAATGGTCTCTACATTAAAATATTATTGCTTCCTGCTGCTTAGCTCTCTTTTTTTGTTATTCGCGAGACTTTAATTATTCGGGATGTGTAATTTCCTACCGAGATAAGCGTTGGACACACGACGAGGGAACTAAAGCGAGCGAACACGGAATCTGCCTTCAGAAATTCTTCATGATCTCCCTCCTGGCCTTCGAGCTTTTGTTTTCACCGCCTATTGTGACGATGACGTTCGATTTTTGCGTTATTGCCAATTAAAGAAAATGACATGACAGAGAAAGGATGGTCGGCCGTCGCTGCGTTTCTCGGTTCTGTCAACCGCATAGTGCTAGTGCAAGGATGGCTGGAGATAAAAAGGGAGTCTTTCATGAAATTGCTCATAAAAGGTATCGGCTCGCGTCGCATCGTATTCTGGTGGCGATCCGTTATTGTCCGCAGGACATGCACGATGTTCCGTGAAATTGCTCGCACGAGATGGTAGCCTTAGCGGTGGATCGAGCTATTCGTTATTTATCGTTTATCGGCGGCATTGTTTAGATTAGTTTATCGTATCATTTCGTAGGAAAGTTTTCGCGGAGAATAATATGTGAGGCGATAAAACAGATACTATCACGCGTCATATCAGTTTGCGTTCTTAGTGAAATTGAAAATAAGTAAAATATTTGCCTGGAAACAGTAACAGTCGAACAATGATAGCTTTTTCTACTGCGGGTTAAGCAATTTCACATTAATTGATATTAATATAAAACTTTTGAAGTTACTTTAATACATCATTGCCATGATATGAACATCTGTTCTGACTTTGTTTGGTTGTTTATCAGGTCGTTTATCGGATATTTTTTAATACAGATATTAATCTCTAAACTATCCGTTATTAGGGCATATTCAACAAACATAATAAGGGACGTTCGAAAAAAACAAGTATTTTTAATTTCATGCATTACATTTTACATTCCAATTTGCAGTTCGATGCATACTCTACAAAATCAATACGGAACATAATTTTTATGCTGTGTAAATTTAATTAAAATTTCATCAATTATTTGAACGTGCTTTTACAAAAGAGTAGGTAAATTTGAAAGAAGACGAATAAATTTCAAATAGAACATGCAAAAATGCCTTTATAATTAAATTTTTAGGTACATTATTAACACAGTAACTGTTTTAAATTCTTATAATTGCAACATATTCGAAAAACAGGAATATTTGGAGAGAATTTAATTAATTTCAGTTTATATAAGACCGCAAAAAAAACAAATGTCAACTCGAATTAACTAAAACTCAGTCTAATTACAACGAATGAATAGGATAAAAACTTCAAATATTGATACATTCAGTTTGCAGTTGAGTATAAGAATGGAAAAATTTAAATAATCTCATTCCTATTCCTATTGTTGAAATCCTATAATATACATATCACTTCGTAAAATACAATCGGTGAAATATACTCTGTATATTTCGTTCTCCACAGGCATTTTTACGTGTTTCTTATTACGACATAAGAGAAACAAAAAGTGTCAAGCGGGAGGGAAGACGGGACTTTTCATTTTACGGTTGTGATCTCTTGACTCAAAGAGCTGCTTCGGAGAAACAGCGATCTGGACAGTAACTTATTGAAGTAATAAAAAGTTATTGCTGTACTTTTCGTAAATTGTAATTTAACTGGGCAATTTGGCGATGTTATACGGAGCGAGTTGTATTGTCTCGTGGCGCATAAGGCATAGGTCAATGGGACGCTGATGGCTCACTATCATTCATCGATATGGACGTGCATTAACCCGTTTTAAGCCAAATGGTTACACAATCGTCTTTGTGTTTTTTTTTCTCGTACCAAGAGAGACGCATTATTTACGTAGATATATCAAAGATGAAAATCTCTATTTTCATAATATTCTTGATAAGTAGATTGAGAAATACATTCATATTTTTGAGAAGTAAAAAATTTTAGAAATCTGCATAGTTTTTAGTCAAGAATTTCCTGATGCTCGAGAAGGAACGTTTAGATGCACAAATGCACGCGCTTAGGTGAATGCGCAGCGCAATTAACGTGGCGTCCGAATGGGATGCTCCGACAATTGTAGGAATAGAGCGGAACTTCGTTGCGTTTCGGTGTGATTAAGTCAGAACTCATAAGCGCGCACGGCTATTGCCTACGCTTTACGTAACAGACCACAACAAAATGCCGCATGCGCGTACATTATTATTACACGAGATACATTGTAACGCGAAGACCTGCAGGTAATGCGCGATGGAGTGAATATATCTGAGTTATTACGGCCCGGGAACGTGATTATTAACGACTCCATGTAATCACAGCGCTAGATTGTCAGGTTGGCGCTTGTTTAGTGTAAGTATAGACGAGAGGACTGATTTATTATTCGTTTATCATACGTGACAGATAGGAATTTTTCTCCGCTACACCATAAGCATCGTAGGGAGTAGTGCAGTTAATATTGCTCGACGTAGAAATAGCGGTATTTTTAATGTGGTTCTCTACGATTAAAAAGATCTGCATCTGCTATGCAGGCGTGACAGAGAAGCCCATATTTTTCTCATTAGTTTCTACGTCTATGAAGAAACTTGTATTTTTCTCGTTAGCGTCTAGAAAGAAGCTTATACATTTCTCGTTAGTGTCTGCGTCATGATTTCAATTTAACGAAGGAACCGCTCGAAGGCGATAGTGTTCTACTATTTTGCCATCTGCGAACGACATAAATGGCCGCGCACGCACACGCAGATGAATGGCGTCGCGTGAAAACACAATGGAATCCTCCAATACTCCGTTCAATTGAGAGCGATTCGCAAACACGGGATACAGTAGAAATCGCGCACAATGGTGAACTTCAACAGTACCGAGCTACGTGGTTACGGTATAAGGGAAGAGGAATAATCGAATTTCCCTATATGACGAAAGGGAGACGGGTAAATCCCGAGTAACTTGCTTCAAATCAAAATTCACCGCGGCTCATACAAAACGTTCTGTCGCGATGCACAAATGCTATTGTTAAACGTGAATTCCGTCTGCATAATTCATGAACTAGAGTCATCCACCATTGGCGGTAAACATCGAATATATTTTCATCAATTTGCGACGCACGTCGGGGATATTATTCGGAACGGATACAGTCGATTATGTAGTAATAGCGTGCAACGTCTGGGAGAATATGCATATGCTTTTACAGTCGCAAACTCTTGTGAACTCCCGACCCGCTCTTCGTATACGTATCGCCGCGATATTAATATCGAAGTCGAGAATATAGAATGCGTTGCGTTCGTTTCCTCTCGTCTGCGTACATTTGGGTGCGGGATTCATAAACGCTGTGCGGTGCGCGAGCGGATGAGAGTTGGCTACAGGTGGTCCCGGGCAGATCAATATGGGTACGCGTGTTTGGGTGAATATATGAATACCCCGACGTTCCCTCACGACAGGCGGACTTTACGATCTCGGCGACGGCATTGTCGTATCGCGAAAAGCCTTGTCCTTTGCGTCATCACATCCGTATGGATTTCGTGTTCTCTTTTTTACATTCTCCCATTGGCGAGACGCGCGCGCGCGTCAGATATCTCGAAAATGGTATTTTGCGACCGGCATTTCCCGCGGTCTCGGGAAACTCTCGAGGCTAAATTGGAATGCTATACGTAAGATGGATCTCCAGACGGAAAGAAGTTTTCGGAAAGCGGACAGAAAACGAATTCATGGTGGAACAGCAAATGAGCAACGAAGATGTTGATCTCGAGCGAATCTCGTACGAAAATTGTACGGAAATAAGGAGAGGACTTTAACGCGTAGAAAATAAGTAGTTTTTATTATAGAAAAGCATAAATAAATTACAATATATTTAGTAACAGTTGGCCATATATACTGTGTACAAAAGTAGAAACAATGAAATCATATATAACAGTTAATATCATATCGATAGATATCGGATGTAACGAGAATTAAATTTATATGTGTACATGAAGTACAGTTAATATGAAAATACTATCGTAAATGTTTCGCTATTCTGCCAAAAATACTAAATGATGGCACGGATTATTAACAAATAACAAATATATATATTTTTTTCTCTGTCTACATCGGGTCATTATCATCGGACTCCTCATCATCTTCTACGAGTTCTCGTGGATAGCCGATGGCACAAAATTCCTGTGGTGACAGAACCGTATAATGCGTGGGGTTAAATAATGTGTAATGGCCGATACATTCTACTATCCAATCCACAAGAATGGCCGCTGCCTTGGCAGTTCGATACCAATGTTCTATCAGGCAAACCGAAACATAAATACTTTAATACGTACTTTCATCGAGCATACATTTATTTATTTGTGGCAACTTACCGATTGTCTTCTCGTCGTGAATATTGTCTTGGATCACAACGCCCTTCATCCCCCTTATCTTAGCCAAAGCATCGAGGGAATCGACCACTGTGGCTCCGGTAGCGAGTAACAAGTCCTAAAAACCAAAAGTATTTTTACATGATGGATCTGGACCGAGTCCAACTTTAAATACCGCGGTTGCGAACAAATGTGTAAATAAAAATCCTTCCGGTCTAGTGACACATACAACGAATTGGTTTTAATTACAGTCTAAGAAGCTCTGTCGCGTTTTTGAACATAAATTAACAGCGTCTACGAGGAAAATTAATGTTCCAGCGATTCTGGAGGCGAAACTCGGAATGCGATGTCTCTAGTTACTGGCCGCGAAAATTAGGTCCGAACACTGACCTGATATTGCCTTAGTGACACGTTGTCATACGGTCCGACGCACAGAAACGTGAAGTCCTCAAAGAGACCCTTCTCGCGTAGTCTCGAGTTACGAGGTCCAGCGCCATTAATGCCAACGTTATTCTGCGTGGTAGCCTCGTAAGGAATCTCGTCCAGCAGTTTCTGCTGCCTGATACAGTCCTCGATCCATCTATAGCTGACTATCCATTTTCGGTGAGCGATACCCTGTAGATACTTCAACGTGCTCTTCGCCGCGTTCTGTTCACCGGTAGTATTCACGATAACGTGCGTCACGTCACGGTCGAACTGGTTTACGTAATTCGCGTTGTACTTCGCCGCGAATTCCTTCACGGTAGTGATCTGGACCGGAGACAAGCTGCTGCATACGAAGCACAGGTCTCGCTTTTCAGACTGCCGACGGACATTCTCCAGCGTCTTCGTGTCCACCTGTTTCGCCAATAAGATATTCCCGCTTTCTATACGCTCGGGCCTCTTGCTCCCCGCGAATGCGTCAGAACGATTGATGGAGTTGTGCGCTACCATTGGCGTACTGTGGAAGATGGATGAAGATGGCGAAGATGGACACATTTCGAATGGTTTCGTAGGTGTGTTCGCGCCAGCCAGGAGAGAACGAGCTCTCTGATTCGGTCCCGTATTTGGTGTCCATTCGGAGGTCCTCGAGATCGGCGATAAAAACCTTATCTTTATACTTTCTCTTGACTCGATCGTTTTGTTCCCGCTGCAACATTACAATATGAATATATGTACCTCGTGCATGTTCCGAATTAATAAGGAAATATTTAGTATTGCCCTTTTTGATTTTCCAAGTAATCGCGTATTTTACATATTTTAACGCGTATTTGCAGGCAAAACTGTTTTATTCCGATTAGCGTTACTGTAAAATGAGTATATAAAGAATATCTAGTGGAAACTATACGTCTCAAGAAATCGTCACACGTTATTTACACGCATTATTAAATTATTATTTTGATTTTATTATTTTTAACTTTTTGCCTATATCTTTTTTTACATACTGTTCAAAGTTTGGAAAAGCAGAAAGACAGTTCCTGCCTGTTTCTTTGTCAATCACGTAACAGTGTACGTACACTATCGTATTTATGACCACGTGCAGGCATAATACCTAACTCGCAGAAACATGTAAGCACGAGCACGAAGAGTGTACGTTAAAAGAGAAGAGCTTAAAGTCCGAGTACTTACTTCTTCATCTTTTTCTCAGGAGTGTTCTCCACCACGTCGTCTTCGTCGGCGGAACGTTCCTGCGTTCAAAAACACAAAAGTGTTATATGAGCCTCGTTATATTGTAGAGTGAGAAGCTTTTGTGCCGTAGAATCAAAATATATCACATATCATGATTTCGTAATAAATTACTGACTGAATTAAATGAGATTGCAAATAGCGCACTTTGTAGCACAAGCTTGTGAAAGATGATATATATACGGGACAGACTATTTCATAATGCATTCGCTGCTATTTCTATGTAAACTACTGTAAATGCTACACAAGACCAACGTAAAGTGCTCGCTCATAAAGCGGGCTGTAAAAACCTGTTGTGACGTTTACGAAATTTAATAGAATTTAACATGTATATTACTACATTGTTACATTTAATATTACGGATCAAATTTTGACCTTAAATTTGCATTCGCAAGAAAGTTAATTACGCGTACTTTAATAATTTCGATAAGATAGAAATTTCTGTAAATTTCCATAAGCCCCAAGAAAACCTGCTTGCAATGCGTTTCCCTTGCGTTCCCCACGCGTTATCAAATTTACGATAACTATACAAATATATTAGACATAAATGTTACACTTGCAGCTATACATTCAATTTTTTATAAGATTTTTTGTAGAAACTCGATGTATGATAGGAAAATACCAAAGATAAATTTTTGCGAAAAAACATACATAAATACTCTAGTATTTAAAAAATACTGTTATTTAAAAATTATTTAAAAAATAGATAAAAATATAAAAGTATCATATAAGGACAAATATTTACCTCTGGCTCCATATTTTTATCTTGAATATTCTGCTTTCTTTTCCTCGGAGTACGTTGCTCCTTTAGGGATGGATCATTCTGCGAAATCACTTTTGTCGCTCTTGCTTGATTTCGGGCCGCGGTGCCGAATAGATCCTCTTCTAACATTTGCAGTTGAGCTTGTTGCTGCGTAATATTCATGAGCGTATCATGTTCGAAAGTATCATCCTTTGAATTTGATCTGTTGCCAGAAATTGTGGCTCTTTGCTTTTCGCTGTCATCAACGTGAAGCCGATCCGCCGATTGTATCCAAGTATTACGCTCTTCAAGGAACTTTGCCTTCTCTCGCGATACATTATGCTTCGATACGATTTTCTTATGAGAGTCTGTGTCAATCACATCGGCGTTTACCGTTGCATCTTTTCTACCTCTTTGGTCACTCCCGTAACCGTGTATTTTTTGACTGCAGGCTACGTTCTCCTTGTCAGAATTTCTTGAGCTGGTATTCGTTGCAAGTGATTTCCTAGCGTTTCTAGGAGAATGGTACTCAAACATGTCGTTCGTCGATGACGGAGGTACGATCGGAGTTTCCTGCATGGCGCCGCCACACGACTCATCTGTCATCGCGAGACAATTCGACGTTTTCTGTTTCGCCGACGGGCGATTGGGATTGCGATCTGACCGTTCGGTACAAGGTATAAAATCCTCGCTTTGTGGCTGCTCAACGTTGGCGATGATCTCGTCAAAAGTGTCCTGTAACAAGTATTCCCTGCTGTCCTTTTGCCTTGTAATATCATTCCGCGGGGTAGAACCTGGCGGTCGACATGCGTCGGGATTACTTCGCGATCGATCGATCTGTAGCACTCTGTTTATGATGTCGTCGTTAGAAGAGTCCGCAATCTTCTTCGATGTATTATCGTCTGTGTTCAACTTTGGTTGTAGCTGTAGTATATAATCAAGATTTTCCGAATTGAACAAGCTACTGCTCTCAAACATATCCGATTCTTTCGCGGAACTTTTCTGGCTTGACTTTGTGTTCTTGGGCTTCTCTATCTTGGGCGCGTTACTTGAGCGAGACGATTGATGATCCGCTGAGTTTTCTTCGGGCGGGGTTCTCATTGATTTGACGCTATTCTGGCTAGTTTTGCTTTCTTTCAACCTTTTTCGCGTCGCGTCATGTTCATTGCTCCATTTATCGGTTATATCCTGAGTACGGTGATCTTCGTTAGAATCCTGCCTCGCCGAACATTTTTTCGTAGTTGTGTCCGTAATCGATGCGTTCCGTTGGATACATTGATCGTCGCTGTGTCTTCGGAGAGAAAAAAAAAATTATGACGGTATATAAATAAAAGAACTATGACCATTCTCGATGAGAAGAGTACTTTTCTGAGATTAAATGCGCAGCGTGCTATTTTTCGCTTTGTTGCATTACTTCGGCTAAAAAGTAACGGTAATAACAGCATAACAGTAATCGCTCAAAGTAGTTGCAAAAAGTTGCAAAGTAATTAAAAAAGAAAAGGAAGGAAGAAAAGACACATTGAACTTCGGATAAAACAGTTCGTTAATTATGTAGATTTGTAGATAAAAATTGTGATCAATAGTAATAATGATAGGTATCTCTACAATCACAAATAAAATTGAAGTAGATATTAAAAATATAAAATGTAATCATAACAAGAAAGATGAAAGGAAAAGCATTGCAACGTTGAAAGTAGAGAAATAGGAGATGACAAAATACTGATTTATATAAGAATCATATGTAATAAGACGAATAAGACATAATTTTATTAATACCTCTTTAAATTTTTTGTAACATGGGTCGTCGATTCCGTGTCCGAGTTAGACGTCTTCAATTTTTTCTCGGGCACATCCTGTTCTTCAAAAGTCGACGAGATTACTTCGACATCTTGATCGTCCGGGGAACTCAAACGACGTTTTTTATTCGCATCCAAACGACTCGATCTCGTTTTCTTAGATAATTTGCTGCCTCTGTCAAGTTTTATCGTAATTCGACTACTGACCGAGTCGTTGGAATCGTCGTTTCCATCACTGGATCCGTCCACAAACATCTCCCTGTCACTGGCGCATCTCATTCTTTTCTTCTTTTTACAGAGGCTTTCGATGAAAGGTTCCTGTGCCTTATCTAGCGTAGACGCTGCGAGGTGTGAACTTTTCATCTCAGAAAAGTTGTTTCCTTTGATAGCGGACTTACTCGGGCAGAGCGCGCGTCTCAACTTCTCGTGCTCGCTCATTGGGGAGTCTATTTCCAGAAACTTCAGCTGCGAATCTTTATCCGGTGACAGCAGTTTAATAGATTTTGACGTTCCTGGATAAGTATGCGAGATCGTCCTGTGAATCGCGCTCTTGTCCGCACGAGATACTTTATGAAGAGATCGCGCGCTTTCCTCAGCGACTTCCTCGATCGACTTATCCAATTGTTGATTTGCGCTTGAAGAACGTACGACTGTCCCGCTCTCTTCTCGATTTAAATGAGAATCCGCATCTTTTTTTGGCGTCGAAGTTGCTGAAGCTTGACAAATCGACGATGCCGCCGGAAATTCTTTCAAAACCGCTTGATTCGAATTCGCGTTATTTTCCAAATAAATATTCTTCACCACGGAATTGTTACTCGAGTTTTGCGAATTATTCCACGGATTAAAAGATATATCTACATGTGCCTCGGATCTACTGGCCGATTGCTGCATATTGTACACGGGGGTAACTCCAACTTCCGCTGGTATCAACCGTTCGTGTTTAGTCCCGCCTAGGAACAAATATTGAACATTACGCCGCCTAATTAACGTACCCAATTGCATAAATTTCACGGGATACGGGAAGTCACGGTTCAAGTCACGTCTCACAACTTTCAATCGATCAAATAGTTTACCGTCCATGGATACGGGCGAACTGACGCTCTTGCGATTGCCGATGTCTTCTCCGTGTTTGTCAACCGATATTCTGTACGACAGCGGAAGTTGGCTTAATGGCGGTGAATCATGACTCTTGTTATCGCTAGTCATCAGCTTTCTTCTCAAGGATAATCGAGACTTGTTCGGCGTCGAAGATTGAGGAGAAACAGCGTCACTCGATGTCCCCTTACTGGTCTCTCGAGGTCCGGGAGTCTGTTTTTCGGCCGGCAAGCAGGACGAATTTCTAAAGCTGCCGGCAGTTTGCGATACGTCACTGGCTGTTTCGTGTATAGATTCGTTGAGTTTCTCCGGCGTTAATACGGTTAATCTTTTTTGCGGCGTTAGCGATAAATCTTGAGCGGGATCTTGAGATTCTTCCGCGGCCTTTTCAATGCCGATAATTTTGCTCATTTGATCATTGTTCAGGTTCATTATGTGTATCTTCCTACCTTCCTCCAGCGTAATATACGATGTGCTCATCGAAGGATAAGATGATTTCGAACTGTCGGTCATATTTTTTTCATGTAATTCCATCTGACCTTTTTGATCGGCCTCTTTTTCGCTTTTATTTAAAGTCGTCACAATTCTAGACGAATCGTATTTGCTACCTGGCGAGAGCTTAATGTTTTCGACTATCCGAGGTACGTTTTTATTTTTCTCGGTGCTCACGTTCAGTTTCTTCACCTTCCTCTTTCTCGCGCGTTTCATCTCTTTCCCGAACTCGATCACACGGGACCAGTTCGCGGTGGATTGCTCAGTGGTCGTAGATGTGTTCGTCGCACTCTGACTCGTAGCTGCGATCCGATCGTGCGCTGTCGTCGATGATGAGTTACCTTGATTGACTGTTTCCTCGATATCCTTCGACTCCAACCTCGCAGCCTGCTCACGCCTTTCCTTTGCCCATATTCTGGCGTGAGAAGCCTTGTATTTCAATTCACTCGCATCAGAATCGATCTCTATTACTTCGCCAATCTGCCTCGCCCCTTTAGTCACCTGGGACAACGCGCTGTCCTCGTCGATACGCTTCGGGCAATCCGTACTCCGTTTTCTATCTTGATTTGATCTGCGACTCGCGTCGATCCCGTCGTGAGATACTTCACCGGTCTCATCTGATTCATCATTGTCGTCGGATATTGGGTTCATCGGCCTAGCTTTGTCTTCGATCAGTATTTCGATTTTCGCGATCAAATCATCGGTGTTCTGCTTATCGGGAAACGAGTGTAGCCACGTGCGAACTTTGAATTCCGGTGGGCTGTGAATCGCATTGTCATTTTCGTCGCCGGAGAAAGCGCGGGAAGACCTCGAAGTTTCCGGCTTCTCTTTTGACATGTTCAAACCGTATCGCGGATTATCATCGTCAATCATTGTTCCGTGACTTGTCGACGGCTTATCGGTTTGCTTGTTCGCGTTTTGATTCAATTGGCGAATGGACTTTCCTTTGTTAGACGACGTTTCTTTGTTAGAGTCCCGGCTAGATTGTCTAGCATCCGGATAAGAGCAGCTTTCCTTCGTATCATATGGCTGCTTCGAGTGCGATAGTACTGCAACACGAATATTATCGGAGCTTTATCGCAGATATCGGCGAACCCGTCTCGTCTTATTTGCTGATATTGCTAAAGAAACTATACTCTTACATCTAACTTATAAAAAAGCTATGAAAAGATCAACTTGAGAATCAATATATTTAATCAGGAAATAGTTACATATAATTTAAAACAATGTCATTAATTCTATTTCATCTTTTGTTTATTTTATTTCTAGAATATGGAGCGTATTAATCTATGCAATTAAGAAATTTCAAGAGAATGTAATTCTGAAAATTGCAGTGGAAATCTATGAATAATCTTGGTATACTTTAAATGTGGAAACTTATCAATACTCTTATCTTATCCGATTTTCGCGCGGAAAATCGTAATAGAGATAAAGTAGTTTTGATAATAATATATGATATAACGTATTACTACGTATTAATGCCTAACGCGTCGATAGAATTATTGCGCGATAGGATATGAATTATTATTCAGAGAGGAGCGCAATTTCCATAAAACACGATACGTTTTAATTTTTAACGTATATATTTTATAATCAAAGCGTGATAAAATTATATACAAAATCACGACGTGCCTGGCCACATATCCATTTTTCCAATCATGTATTTTACCATATAATTTTTTTTTACAATAAAATAAAAACAGTTTGTTTTCTACATAGTCGGTTACGTTACACAATTTTTCGTTTTTATAGAATGTATTTTTTAAAAATCTGACTACTGCACCGCGTATTGCGTGACGTTAAAGTAAAAAACGAAAAATACGGTCAAAGGCAAAAGGAAAAATCTATAGTAAGGACATTTCGAATATTCAACATAAGGGAACTGAATAACGTCAGGAAGGTACGTGATACCCAAACTCCAGGGCCTCATAAAACATTGAGGCTTTCTCTAAAACGTATAGCGTGAATCGAGGCACCCGAGAGTATCGAGAATTAAATTTTTCAGGCCTCCACCATCCCGCGCGCCGCGAAGAACGTAGTGCTGGCCTCACTTAATGTACTTTTACGGCGGGGCATCTACCGTGCAGTGCTTTTAACTTTCGCGTTCCTGGTTGAATAACACAATAGCGGATCGCGGATCAATAGTTGGCGCAAAAATTACGATTATTATCCGGGCAGTAATGATTCTCAATATCGTAGCGTAGCTACTTCTGGTATATAGCGTAGCAGTCGTTTCCCAGAGGAAACATATCCTAGCTCTCTACGCTTTTCCTCTAATTGAGAATTGATCTATGTACTCCAGATTCCCAAATTGATTTAATATCGCATTAATTTGAATATAATTGAATAAACTTTTAGATCAATTAAAAAAAATGAACATTTTTCGAATGTACTCACTGTCGATACAGCTGTCCTTCTTGATGGCAGTGACAAGTTTTTTGAACTTCTCGATACAGATTTGCAGATGATCATCCTTGGAAATGTTGCGTCTATTGAGACTCATCTTACAGAGCGGACAACTCGCGCTTTTCTTCCGCAAGACATTTCCTATGCATGATTTGCAGAATGAATGACCGCATCGTGTCTTGGTAGGTTCTGTCATGAGCTCCAAGCTGAAAGAAGAAACGACTAGATAAATCCTGTTTTGAAGAAAATTAATCAAATCTTGATTCACGAGATGATTCACAATTGATTGATCATTTGTAACATAATTAACTGCACACACATTGTTTAAATAATGGCATAAACTTATGTTTGGCATACATTCCTCTGTCAATATATTTCTCTGCTCTGTTTAGACGATAAAAAAATCTATAAGCGAGCTTAACACTTAATTAAAGTATTCAGAGTTCACTTAATGTAATGTTTCTCATGACTGTTATCTAATGACTACCTATAAATACTGTTCTGAAAAAAATCAATCAAATCTTGATTCACACAAGTGACTGACAATCAAATAGCGGCATAAACTTGTTCGACATGCATTCCTTTGTTAACACACTTCTTTGCTCTGCTTAGACATTAGATAAAAACATTTTCTAGCGAGCTTGATACTTAATTAAAGTACTCGGAGTTCACTTAATGTAATGTTTCTCATGACTGTTATTTAATGACTACCTATAAATACTGTTCTGAAAAAAATCAATCAAATCTTGATTCACACAAGTGATTGACAATCAAATAGCGGCATAAACTTATGTTCGACATGCATTCCTTTGTTAACATACTTCTTTGCTCTGCTTAGACATTAGATAAAAACATTTTCTAGCGAGCTTGATACTTAATTAAAGTACTCGGAGTTTACTTAATGTAATGTTCCTTATGCAGAATCAGTAAAAATTGTCAACTGCCTCGGTGTGAGTCATGATTGCCTGCGAGCTACGCTGGACACTTGTTGCACCGCTCGAATTCTAACCTATATCTGTCCCAGTCATCACGCACGAAAAAAACAAGTTGATCGTGCGGGTACCGAACTGTTCGGGTTTCAGCGACGTAGTGAATGAACGCGCGTGATACGCGGACTTACCAAATCGTGCATATTAAAGATTTCTGGAGGTTGTGTATCGCCTCCGAGAGCCGATCGATGCCTTTCGGCCGGCTTTGATCTGCCATCGTTTCACTCAGTCTCGAATCTCGATCGACGGAACGCCAAGGTCGCCAAGGTTCGTTATTGCGCGAATTCGCGAACTACTTTTTCCCCGGGAATACACGGTCCTTGGATAAATTTGGTAGGACAAATACTGACAGATCCTCGTAAACGCGTTTCTCGTTTCGAACTACAAGGCGGACTTGACAATGCGCGGGAACGACGCGGCGGCCGCGGCGCCGCCATTGATTAAATGCGCCGAGTCGGACGAAGTACACACCAGTGGTAGCTCACGTGGTACGATCGAGATCGATTCTTCATGTAGGTGGTGCTCGCATTTTAAGCCCCGGACACAACATTAAAGTTTCGACCAATCGCCTTGCTCGATTCGGGAACGTATGGCCGTTACGTTCCCGTTTCAAGCAACGCGATTGGTCGAAAATTTAATGTTACTGTTACGAAAAAGTGTGTGTCCGGACTCTTAATTTTACAAGATCATCTGAAATTGGCGAGAAATTGGATCTTAAATTTCATTTAATGTTCCATCCGACCGATGAAATCATCCAAGACGATTTTAAACGTAAGATCGGAGAGAAGAGTTTCAGGTTTCAGTAGACGAAGGATGATTCATAATCATGCTTTTCGCATAAGAATGTATTAGTGCTGAAACTGGGGCACCGCCCTTAAGAGTGCGCCAGTGTGCCATGAATCGCGCGCGCTGCCTCGACCGCCTGAAGTGAGCAGCGCGTCTGTATTGGCAGCATTGGCGCGGGGCGCCGGCGGTTTCACGCGATTCTCGAGTGCGAGGTGCGAGGAGTCCGGACTCCGGAGTCCGGTGTTCGGTTTCGCGATTATGGCCGCGCGACGGCGATCCGTTTCGCGTTTTGCGAAATTTCGCAAGATCGTAAAGCTCGTACAACTCCAACTTGCGAGATCTCGTCGATATCAAGCGTGGACAATGACGATCCCGATTACGCCGCGCTCGACTAGCGTCGTTCATCAGGTAATCTCCTTTCTCAGGATCCTTTTTAACCCCGCAGCAGCGTTCGATGACTCTGATCGAAGATGGCTTCTTGAAACCAGAATAGAATCTTTTTGCACTAAATATGAATTTTACATAAAATCGCACACACAACGCGTACACACACGTCTGCACACATGACGCATGCACACACGCAAGCATGACACAAAATATATCTCTAGAATGAGTCTGACTACCACACAAATTGCTCTACTGTGCTAAAATTTAATTTTGAAAATGAATTTTAAATTAAATTCAGGAAACACGATTTTACAATTAACAGATGTTTCTTCCTAAATTGCTTCTTTAATATAATTGACAACCTTAGTTAGCATGTTAATTAGAAATATCTCTCTTATTCTGACAAGAAGAAAATATAATGAAGAATAAATTTATAATGAAAAATTGTATATCCTTATTAAGGCATATTATTGTTAAAGCGTACGTCCAATGGCGATTATTTATTGGCCATATAATGTATATTTAGGGGATAACATAATTTCATTCATTAAATTATTCAATAAATTATCACGTGGAATTCTGTTAACTATTACCGATAATAGTCTCTTACAATTTCATGTACTGAATTAATAGAATGCAATGAAACTCAAATGCCGCATTAATTATCATATTTATTAAGTGGTAAATAATGCATTGTATAATATATTATATGTGTCTTAAATTTATATATATATATTTTTTTTTCTCAATGCAATTTATTACTGCTATTATGTGGACAAATTGATAGATCAAGTCTATAACTCTTTGAGATTTATTGTTGAAACTGTCTCAGCTGGTGTAATACTCGAAATTGATATATTTCGATTAAAATGGTCAAAATGCTATTTTTGATCATTTTAAAAATATCACGATAAAGACTGCAGTAATATTTATTGTCCGAGCATAACGTCGAAAAGTTATTTAGCGGATTTCGATGGATTAATTAAGAAAGGAAAAGAGATTGTTTCTAGCGAAACGGTCAAACAAATGATGTATCGTAAAATTAACGGTCGCAATAATATACGTGAACGGTTTGGCTCGATAATATCGAGCCACGATATGACCACTGACCACGGTATGGTTCGTGCAGCAATTTTACAATGGGCAGCGCGACGTTTCGCGGTGTTCTCGCGGAGAGGAATATAATCTTGCCTGCAGCCAGGCAGGATTCATACTGACGCGCTCATGCATAAGCCATTTACTGGTTTACGGAAATGTCGAGAGCGCTGCGCGACTCGCTTTCGAAAGCGAATTTATACATTATTCGCTGGCGATTATATAGGACAGCGGATCCTGCGTTTCGCGGCGCGGAGGCTGCTCTCGACGTTGGGGGTTGTTTCAATTATTCGCATGCTTCCGTGATGCAATCTACCGATATAGGCAATTTTCGACCTTCCGTAGTGTAGTTAATCATGCAAGCGTCCGCAGCCGCCTTATGAAGAAGCTCCACGTGTAGATATAGGTCACAACTGCATCCTATTTTAACGTGGGTCGGGCAAATGTTTAAGGCAAATTGTTAAATTTAAAGAAAATAGCTAAATTTTCGAAGCAGTTATTATTACATTACAACATGTTGGTAAATGTACATTTGAAATTATAAGTCTTGTGTTTCTTATTTCTTTATTAATATAAATAGAAGTACAGCAATATTCGCTGATATCAATATCTATTGATTTAACTACTTCAGCCTGACGCTCAGCATTAGATTTCTCAATCCAATTTCCGCTACTTTCAACTTTGCCAGTGAAAAGTAAATCTAGAATGAAAATATTCTTGCTCTTTTCTATCTTTGCTTCAAATATATATTTCTATCTTGCTTCAAACATAATTCTAATATGAAATTTTATCTTTTTTTTTTTTAAGGAACCTCCGTTCCAATGTGCAACACTAGCCACTGACGATTTCGGCGTATGCGTGAAGTTCAACGATGTAGCACGATTTTTCACGGAACGACCTGTTGATGAAGTATGGGGTGGTTCTTCCTTGCCTGTATTTTGTTGCTCTCCTTATGCGGTAAGTACTAAAAGCACAATTCAGATTCTTCAGATAGAAGAACATGTATATATTATCTAATCTTTTACGATTACGTATTTGCAATCAAAAATTCAAGCGGCACCAAGAACAAAACAGTGACATAGGTTTTGTACGGAAAAAGCAATTTCCGTGATGATAACTCGCTCAATCTCGATACAGATTGCCGCAGACTGATCCTAAATTATACTTTGTTTAAATTTATCGATTTTCTATTCGTGGTTAGACTTTTGATGTTATTCCTCGTACCGTGACGATCAAAATTTTAATCTGCAGTATAAGCAAAAGAAATTTCCTTCATAAAACTTGCATTCTTCATGCCGCTAACTCGATTCTGCATTAAGGGTGCTGCGAAACCGTCAATCACATTTTTCGCAAACCTGACGGTAAATTAATTTTTTTACGTTATGTTAAAAGAAAAAGAGAGCCCTTTTGACACTCTTGGCACGAATGCATGAAACTGGCACTTAATAATCGTTGATTCACGTTTCAGTTGAAATTATATTGTATAATTAAATCCTCGGCGCGCGTGAAATACGAATCTAAGTATGTACTTAAATCTTTTGAGAAATAGGTAAAGCAAACTCGGAATACTGATGAGCGCATTTAAGTAGCTGCAAAATTATATAGAGTATTAAAATTAAAAGTTACAATCACAAGCAAGTTTGACGATAATATTATTAGCACACACAATATCGTTTACAATGAGCGGAGTGTAAAATGCAATTTTGAAATAAATTTTGATGTATAATTGCGCATATAGTTTGTGTTCATATTTTCTGAAAAGTGAATTAAACGATTTACGTGCGACTCATACGTTTCCTATATTTTGCACATTTTTTTTAATTTAAAAAGGAGCCCATTAATTGAAAAATTATATACTATTAGTTTTATATTTATTTTAACTAAAGATTCTTAACGCTTACATGTAATTTTTATATATTCTATATTTATGTGTCAAAATTCTGTTAAGAATTTCTGATTCATAAAAGTAAATCTGAATATCTATCGTCTGCGTCACATTGAAAAGACACGGTTCGCTAAATTCGTTTTGCAAAAAGAACGCAACAAGTTTAGCAACCATCAGTGAACCTCAATACTCTCGTATTCAAAGGAACAGAATTATTGAACAGACAAAATTGGTATTCCTAGTATTTTTCTCTACGTAAAGAGCAAACCTCGCTTTTCTTTCCATGTTTATTATTCTCGAAAATCAAATATCAAGTAGTATAATAAAACTGATTCTGATGTTTTTCACAATTCTAACTACAATTGATATTTAAATATAAATATTTCGATATCAGAGAAAATGTATATAAAACGCAATATAAAATAAAAATCTTTTTCTCATTTATTTAATATTCTATTATTTATCGATTTTATATATCGTTGGAGAGACTTTAACGCGAAGAAATTTTTGTAATTAAAATGATAGATGGGCGTGTCGTGGGGAGTATTACAGACATTCAAACATTGCAGTCTTTTTCCTCAAATGACAAATTCATTACGCTCACTTAAATATAAAGGAGTAAATACACTAAGGAACAAACAGTTATCTGTTTATAAATTTACTAGAATTTAATTGCAATATTACTCAGAGATAATGACAAATATAATTATTGTTTAATACATTATATTAATTGTGCAATTATAGAGTTGTGTAATTAATAACTACGTAATTATAACAATTTAGCATATTCAACAAAATTATATTTGTAATTATAGAATTTCGATTTATTTCTATCTCTTTATCGTTATAATCGCCATCGTCCGTCCACACTGACAATGAGTGGTGCTGAAAATGCGATTCATCATTCATCTCTGTAAATTGGTCGTCAATCCATTTACATCAATGTCACTCCTCGACCCAATAGCGGATTGAAAGCCTCTCCACCTTTAAGTGTATGCATTAGTTGTGAGTTAGGTACCTCGCCGATATAGAGAGAGGAAAATATCACTTTGATGCTTTTACAATCTTGATCCGTTGTTATTGAATTGTTTCCTGTCTTCTATTGATTACGATTATCCGTGATCGTTAATTGAAGGGGATAATCGGGAATAATCGATAAAATATTAGTGGAAACCTATCTCTCCATCGCGAACTTAGCGAAGCAGTTTATATGATCCTCTGATCTCTTAGCATATTCACCTACCTGAAAAATCCTTCGCATGGATACCTTCTGCTCCATTA